TTTCACTTCCCCTTTGGGTTCTCAGCGTAAGAAGAGTAAGTGTCAAAAGGCAGGCTCTTTCCCAATTTTAAAACAGAGAGGGTGTAACCATGTGTAATGTGAGCCTAGATTTTGATTGTAGGGATCATGAAATCAAATCTCTCCTTAATCCTTACTGGGAAACATTGGGGTGAATTAGCCTGACTGGTTTTTGCTAACTTGTTAAAATCCTTTTGAAAAAGAAATGTGTTTTAGTGTCATCAAAAATATCTCCCTACTTTACCCCAGAGTCTAAGAGAGCACTGGACCATTGTGCAGAGTGGCCTCAATGCAATGAAAAATGAAAGGAGAAGGAGAATAGATAAAACCAAATATATTATTTTCCTGGAAAAAACACAGTGCTTTCCAATATGCAACTCTTTCCAGCTCTGCCATTTTAAAGCTAGATGCTTAGTCATTATTAATGATAGTATATTTCTTTAAAGCTGCTATATTTTGGGAATAACTGGAAATGAAACTTGCTGTTTTTTTCCCCCTCTTAAGGTTAGTTAAAATAATATACGGTTGTCTGTGTGCATTGCAGTCACTGTGCATATACCAGTTGAAGTATTTTTGGAATAAGTGAGGAAGTTTATTCCAGTTATTTCATTTATAGCAAAGTATTAGCTTGAACTTGAGAAGAGCTCCCTGTTTACATCATTCAGCTGTGCTGTTGCAGTGGTTGGAGGCTCTCGATACTACTGCTACCTTACAAAAAATACTTGGCACAAGCGCATAAAATCAACAAGACCTTTTTTTCCTCCCCCTTATCCCAAAACCATCTTAATTTTGTTCCTTGGCAATGTGTCTGTACATCCCCCACATGTGCACACAAATATCTTTGACATTTAATTCTTTAAAAATAGTTGAAGTATTTAAGGAGGAGCACCTTATACATAATGAAGGAGAACATCTTGTTCATTCTTGCCATTACTCAGAACAGCTGGTATGATGGTGGGGTTTTCCTGATGTGATTATATGGAGTTCCAGGGCAGGACCTTTCATCAGCTGGTGTGAAGTACTTAAATAGTTGGAGATTTTTTTTTTTTTTTTTTTTTTTCTAATAAAGTAAGGTTGTGTAAAGCAACAGGAGCAGAAAGTGATGTTTCCAAGATGGAGCAAAATAATTTTCTAGAAATTCTTTCTCCACAAATTCCAGTATTTTCTGTTGTTAGGGTCCACGTTCATCCTGCCTAAATTCAGACGTTCGTTGGATTCAAAGTGAAAGGTGGCCAGACCTATCTTTTGGATGTGTGTCTTGGCCTTGCCTGCACGGGAGACCTTCCCCCAGACATCTCAGTTAAACTGCAGTGGGATGAGCACTGGCCAAAGAGACTCAGGCAGGAAATCCTCAAGTCTGTTTCACTCTTCCACAGTCACTCTGTGAATTTCCCTTTTCAGGTGAGGTCCTTGTCCCTAGGGAGGAGGTTCTGAAGCCCTTTCACAGCTTTGGGACTTATAATGCACTTTAAAAACTCTATTTCCTTGATCCTAGTGCCCACAAAGCCTCAAGTCTATCCCTAGTTGCAGTTGTTAAATCAGAAATATCTACTGTTACTGGCAGGGAGAGTGCATATATCATCAACTTGTTCCTTTTTATAAGTGGTTGATCACTTTTGCCGTGCTTCAGGGAAGCTATGTGAGAAAGCTTTTGTGCTCATTTGTGACTAACAGCACAGATAAACAGTGTTACTCTAGCTTGTAAATTATTTGTTCTTTTCTTTCCATCCACTGTTTGAGTTCTTGATCTTGATGAAGGTATTATTTAATTCCTTCATTTCTGAGCCTTAACCTTGGACAGATACATAATAGCCTTGTATTTAGGCACTACTGGGGTGCTTTAAGCAAGCTGTTTTTCTTTGAAGCTAAGAGTGACTAAGCCTGGGAAGTTCTCTATTCTTCCTCATCTCCCTCTGGTAGTTAATAGACTTCACAAGGGATATTGACACACTCTGATAAGCCTTTGAAGTTATTACCTACTAATGTTTTGCTCTGAGTGCTGAACACTGAGTTACTGAGTGCTGTTAGAAGCAGTGAGAAAGGGTTCACAAAACCGACAGAGCCTTGCCTATAATTTCTGCAGAAAAAGAGCTGAATTTAATGGATAAATTGTGTTGCTGGGGAGATTTTGTTTCTGTTCCCTCCTCTGTCACCAGTTTGCCTTGTGATTTGTGGTAGCGTTTTCAGTTATGCCAGTCACATGAGTTCAAAACCCATGAGTCAGACTCCACCCAAATCATGAGCCTGGCTTCCAGATCCAGGAGCTTTGAACAGAGATCATACCATACTTTTTCTTTAGTTTATCTTTTGTTTCTGGAATTTCCTCTGTCTATTCCCAATGTGTCTCTAGCAATTAATGTTTCCCACTCTTTTGGAAGTGTTGGGAAGATATTTTGACCATTTGGGGTTGCCGGAGGCCTCGTTTGATCTACACAATTAATTTTTTTATGTTTGATCTCCAAGTGAATCTTATTTCTTCCAGACTTCACATCCTTCTCCTGTCCCCAAGGACTGCATCCCTTAGCCTCACACGACCCATCACTTCTGTTTCTTCCTTGTCGTTCAGCTGCTCTGTACCCCCTTTAGTCCTCTCTGGTCTTGAGAGGATTTTTCACCATTGCCTTGCAGGACAGAGAAATGTAAAAAGATGCAGATCTTGGTAACCTTTAACCTTTGTATGACAATACGTAGTTAGAGAGAGAGCAGGGAAATGGTGTCCCCGAGACTCTCCTGAAAAAGATGAAAGTGCTACTTGCAGCACAAGCAGTGAGTGATGAGGACAGGCAGGAGATTGCTTCCAGGCAGGATGGAGACCTGCAGGAGGGCTGGAGCTCTGCATGTTATTGTGAGGCAAGACCCCCTTTGCTCAAGTAAACCCCTTCGGCGTAGCAAACCAGGGTTTTAGACTCACTTTGAAGGGAGTCAGGTGAAGAGTGAGTCAGAATCGATGAATTTATGAGCCAAAGTAAATCCAGAGAAGGCAAGATGGGAGTCAGCCCTTCTGTCTGCACTCTTTTGCCCTCTAATTCAGTCATCGATATGATTTTCTTCAAATTTTGGGTCTGTAATATATTGTTTGTAGACTCAGTTAACCAAGTCCATTATGAAGGATATGATTATGACTGAGATGGTGAAAAAGCCAAGGGGAAACTGTTTGTCATATCGCTGTTTTCTCCTATAGCTTTTGCCTCTTTTCAGGAAGGTAAGAACTTAAAAGTGCTTGGAGTGGTTTAACAGGCCAAAGCCAAATCAATAAATGTGACTTTGCAGCAATTATTGCATGCAACACAGTGATGCCTGGTATTCCCATGGTAACATTGTTGTTGTTTTGCCATGAAATTTGCAGAAAGAGCTAACTATTTAATTAATAGAATTTTGCACAACTAGGCTACTCTCATCTCAAGAAGATGGGAAAATGCATCTTCACTCGCTCATCCTCGTTGCCATACCACTCTTTCACCCACATTGTTTGCTGATTCTTGCATATGCCATGTGCCAAACATGTTGCAGATCCATCATTTCAAGTAAAAGTGCAGCCAAACGGTACCCCCAAATCCAAATACCTCTAAGGCCTGTGTGTTTGAAACTGAATCTGAACCCACAGAAAAACTTTACATAGCCCTAAACTTTACAACGGTTGTCTCCAACCCTTGAATCCATGCTCTCTCCATAGTTTGGTGGATAGGAAATATGGAATTTGTTTTTAAACCCAGAATCATCAAAAGCTGTGATCAAGATGTGAGAAAGATTGATGACGCCTACCAGAAAAATCTTTCAGCTAAATATTTCCCATGCTAGGCCTGAATTTGTAGCAACTGGACACATCTCAAAATATTTCTAGTTATGCTGTGAGCATTTCACAGAATTGCAATAATTAGAAGTGATTCCTTCTTTAAGACAGAGAAATGCTACCCCACAGCTTGAATATTAACAAGATAAAATTCATGAGAGCAAACAGAATAATATAATATTTTCTCCAAAGGAAAAGGGCATGTATTTACTTAGCTCTTTCATCAGCCGTTTTCGGACACACACTGTGTGCATAAAATACAGTTATGCAACCCATGTGGGTCAACAGCGGAAGATTGGTTGCTTCACCAGGATTATAAGAATCTTTTAAACACAATGGTACCACAAATTAAAATGGAAATCTATCAAAACCATTATCGTCCTGAAAGCTTTGGCCACAAGCATAATTATTGTAGAAGGATGTTGTCCTTGGACGCAGCTTTGGCTCAGTTCAGCTAGTGTTATTTGTATCCCTCCATGGCTCCAAGTCAGAATTTGCGTGGCTAAGGACCATAAATTTTTAGAGGAAAAAATAAGCTGTTTCCTCAATGCTAACACCAGCAGTTTTGTATTGTTTTGTAGTGGTTTGTAGGCAACTCATTAGGTACTAGAGATAGGAACAGACTGAATGCGGTGGCTGAAATCTGCCTTGAACCTTGGAAGGATTCAGATGGAGATTTCTGTCTGGATCTAGTTGTCTCTGAGGCTGTTGTTTTACTGGATGTGAACAAAATATGAGTGAATGTCCAGACCACTTGAGTTTAAATCTAGAAAGTCCACATTTTGGGTAGTAAAACAGTGAAGGAGATCTTGACCTGATATAAGCTGCACTCCACAGACTTAAATACAGCAGAAAACCTATTCTGAGTTTTCTAGCATATCCATGAAACAGGCAGTCCTGTAGAGACCAGAATAACTGGAAGAATATACAGTCTCCTGGATGCTGCTTGCTATCAGCAAGGGACAACCTCCTTTACCCACAAGTGCCCTCAGGAGAGGCACCAGGTTGCTTTCTCAGGCTCTTGACAAAGGCTGAATCTCCATTCTTGTGTTGATGATAAACTATATTAAATAACAGGCACTTTCAGTTATTTTTAAACTGGCAATTTTTCTCTCAACCTCCAATTTTCCATCCTGAGGGAGGTAAGTGACTAATAAATCTGAAATCTGTTTTTCCTCTTTCCATCCCTCAGGCCGGTATAGATGGAGAAAGCATTGGGAACTGCCCATTCTCCCAGCGTCTCTTCATGATCCTGTGGCTCAAAGGAGTTGTGTTCAACGTCACCACTGTTGACCTGAAAAGGTAAAAATTGTTCAGTTTAATTGAAAATAGTTATATGATCCAGTGTTGGCCCTATAGAAAGGCCCCACCAAGTTCAATCAGATTTGTATCTAGCCTAGAGAGTCTGTGGTGCACAACAAAATAGTTGGGATTCAGGTTTGGGTTGTTTTTGGTTTGGTTTTTTTTTTTCACTTGTGGAATGTTTTTATATTAAACAGGGTGCTTGGGGTAGTTTCAAAGTCTTCTAACCACAAACTACAGAAAAAAGAAGGGCAAACTGTTTTTTGAGAAACTATAAATATCTGTGTGACTACCTGACCATAAAGATTAGTGATTTCATGACTTTTTCTCTCTCTGCAGAAAGCCAGCTGACCTACACAATTTGGCTCCTGGGACTCACCCACCTTTCTTGACTTTTAATGGAGAAGTCAAGACAGATGTTAACAAGATTGAGGAATTCTTGGAAGAGACTCTTGCACCTCCAAAGTAAGAATTTGGGATTTTTTTCAGTCAATATTCCATTTCCTAGGAATGAAAGATGTCCTAAGAGGAGTTCCTAAAAAGCGCTCCCTCCTACAATCTTTACTTACAGGAGTAATATTTATTTATGAAACTTGCTGGCTTCAGTGAGATGACTTCCATGTGTGAAGGTTACTTGTATGACTAATAACTGCAGAATGTTTTCTCTGTACACATTTCAGGATGGCCTTGTATGCAGAATTAAGGAGACCAATGCTAGAAAAATTTTGTAGAGGTCTGGTGTCCACATTTTACAAAGCTAAAAATAACTTGGAATAGATGCTGAGAATTGCCACAGAACATATCTGTGCCAGGAAAAGCATTTTACAGCAAAAAAACTGGAGGTTTCTGAGCTGTATGGTGTATTAGAATGGTTGGAAGGGGAACTGATTACACAGTACTAGAGGCTCTGGAGGCAGAAAAGTGCTCATTATTCTAGTCAAGAAATGACAAGAGCCCATGACTGGAAGTTATAACCAAACTAATTCAAATTAGAAATAAGGCACAGATTTTTTCAGTATGAATGATTAACCATTGGAACAAGCTACCAAGGAAAGGTTTAGATTTACCAGATATGCCTTAGTTAGTCCAACATTTTGGATTTAATATAAGGATACTGGGAAAAAGAAATTGTTGGTTTGTGATTTGGACCTTAAAATCTCTGAATCGATTAAAAGTGGCTTCGTTCCTTATGGGGTGTTTTACTTCTAAGTGAATCGGCAGCTATAGGCCAGTCCTGAGGCAAGAGATCGAATATTTAAATTTTCTAGACTCTGGTGCAAGACCACTGAAGTCAGTAGGAGTCATTAGTCTATGTTGGTCTTTCAGATCGATGTATTCCTTTGCACCAGATATCTATTAAAATTCAGAAACAAAACTTTATGTTCCTTCATCTGGGTAATACTAACATGCCTTGCTATTACATCCTGGAGGACATTTTCAGAGTAGGGAATTAGACACGACTGCCGTTCATAATGGAGAGAGCTGTCTGCCAAGCTCCCCTGTGCCTTGCTGGAAATTGATGCTTCTTTCTGATTTAAGGCCACTGTATGTTGGATTGTGGTAACATAAAGCACCAGCACCTTTGTCATGAAGCCATCCCTGTGTAACTATCCAAACGCCTGCCTTGACAGACACAGATATTATTAAGAGGGACTTGCCAAGCTGTTGTTCTGAGACAAATGACAGCGTTAATTGCAGTTCCTCCTATGGGGCTTTTTCCTTTCTTCTTGTAAATTATGTTTGTAATCATCACTATGTTGCTGGTAACAAGATGATGCTCTCCACGCTGCTTCTCCCTTTTCAGGTACCCCAAGCTGGCTTCTAAGCACCGGGAATCAAACACTGCAGGAATCGATATATTTTCCAAATTTTCTGCATACATCAAAAATACTAAGCAACAGGATAATGCTGGTGAGTAGGATCATCACCAAATGTGAAATAATTTTGTCATTCTCCCATGATTTTAACGTAAACTCTGTTCATGACATCAGGTACTGCTCTTGATCAGCTTGAGATGGTTGGTTCAGTGGACTCATTTCACATGTCCACAGTTGAATGAACTACATCTATACTAGTAAATAAAACATGCTACTGAGTGTTTAGTAGCCCCTTTACCAACTGCCATGACATGGCTTCTGTCCATTACAGTCCAGGTTCCTCACCAGAACAGGATTCTATTCTTACTGGAACCAGCTGGTGGCCCATATTACCTCCTCTACTTTACTCAGGCACTGCTTATAAGGAGTATGTGTTGACTGCACCTAAAACTGTGCTAATACTTAAAATTTAGCCATGAATGACTGGGTGAGAGCAACTTGTGCTCTGACCCTTCATAATTTGTTAAATGTGGCAATCAGACTCTTGGCCCACTTATGTTATGCTGTTATAGCTCATTTGCTCATATAAACTGAGTTATATCCAGACATCAAATATAAAATAATTAAATTAAAGAAATTACCTTAAGAAATGTAATTGGACTCTGCAAGCTCCAGATTTTCCCTCACATGTTTGTGTGTCAAAAGAAATAACCACCCCAGAAGCTGGATGCCATGCATATTTACACACATCCTACACTGTCTTCTTAATTAAATCACTTTTTTTCTCCACATTCCTTTCCCCTCAGAGAGGCAAGACTTCAGCTAGTCTAAGCTTCTGTTGCTCCATGAAAGTTAATGGGATTACACTGCCGCATCCCTTGAGATGATCTAGTAGAATATTTGCAGCCACTACATTTTACCTTGTATTACTAGTTCCAGAGACCTCAAGCATGTTAAACACCATGTGCTCATATCATATCGTATCATACCATACCATACCATATCGTATTATATCATATAATTCAGAGAAGACTAGATTTTTTCAGGTTCCAACTCTGCCACAGATTTCATTTTTGTGATTATATTTCATTGCCTGGGGCTGACCCATGAGAAGAAAATGGGTAAATGATGATTTATGTCAGATAGCAATCTGCTCCTTAATATTTTTGTGTTGTTAACAGAAGGAAATAATTATAGTGCTTCACTTCTCAGGGATGCTAAAAAGTTATTTTTTTGTGTAATGCTAATGGGATACTCAGCTAACCTCTGTAGGAAGTTGTTAAAGGAAGATAAATTAAGAGTTAGACAAAATAGATGTTAGAGTGAAAATAAAATTTGTTGGCTGTTCACAAGGAATTTTTACGGTCTGCTCTGCAACTGTAAATCTTAAATTCAGCTGTGCTGCCCCTTGCATTCTAAAACGGCCATGGATATCTGTCCACATGCACAATCCCAACACGTCACTTCTCAGTGACTCTGCAATATGTAAATCCCTGGGTTTGTAAGGACGGGAGCTCCATCCAGTAATAAATGGCTGTCCTGGAGGTGTCTGCATCTGGCTATAACCAGAGCTGGAATTCAGGGTCAGATATCCACTACTGGGAGATAAGGAATCTAACCTTGCAAAGTGCTCATGATCAGGGCTCCACATTTTTACTAGCTGTAGTATGATTAATGGGACCTTTCCCTAGATCTGCCTAACAAACTCCTGGTTTAGGTACTCTTAAAAATAAAAGGAAAATGCTTTCCAATGGCAATTAAACACATCAAGATTATAGAGGAAAAAAAAATGTTAAGCTTCAGGAGAGCAACAATATTTGTTCCCTGCAAACGTCCTCACTCCATTTTTTAAGCTGATTCGTGCTTTTGTTATATCCAGACACACTTCAGTCTCTGAACATAGCGATGCTCAACTTTCCTCTTTGATGTAGAGAGGAGTTTTTAGCTTAATTTTTTACAGCTGGAGTGCTTCAGTGCAAGGAGAATAAAGCACAGACAATCAGAGTAGAAGTACTACCTGCATGTTCTTTCTATCAATGAAGTAAAGTACCTGAGGACCTTGGAGTCTCTAAGATGATCGGTGCAGACTTACGCCATGTGGGAAATAGATCTCAATTTCAGCGGAGTAAATGACTTCCACTCTTCAAGGGCTAAACAAAAATAGCTTTTCCCTCATCCCAGGGACATTTTACCCACTTTCCTATCCAGTTCATCTGAACCTACAGCAGTTATTCTGAAGGCTAATCTTGATGACATAATGAATTAATTAAAAGGTAGTTGTGTTAGATTTCTTGAGCAGTGAAGACTATATGCAAAAAAGAAAGGACAGCACCACTGTATATGTATTTCCCAATGAACATATTTAGTTTTCATTGTTATTTTTTAAAATTGCAGCACCAAACAGAAAGGGATCTGGGGCTCTAGTCTTGATCTGATCCATGTCATTTTGCAGCAAGTTCTGTTGCATTATATTTCCTATATAACAGCAGAAGTAGTTGTATATAGTTCTGTATAGTTATATATAGTTCTGTAAAAAGCATTTTATAAACATAAAACGTAATTAATTAGGAGAATGTCCCTTCCCCTCTCTCCATATGCACAGGTAAGTTCAAAAAAGGACAGAGGCTGCTGTTTCATAGAATTAGAGTCACAGAAAGGTTTGGGTTGGAAGGGACCTTAAAGATCATCCAGTTCCAACCCCCCTGCCCCGGGCAGGGCCACCTTCCACTAGCCCAGGTTGCCCAAAGCCCCGTCCAACCTGGCCTTGAACACTGCCAGGGAGGGGGCAGCCACAGCTTCTCTGGGCAACATGTGCCAGGGCCTCACCCCCCTCACAGGGAAGAATTTCTTCCTTACATCTAATCTAAATCTTCCCTCTTTCAGTTTAAAACTGTTACTCCTCATCCTGTCACTACACCCCCTGATGCAGAGTCCCTCCCCACCTTTCATGTAGCCCCTTTAAGCACTGGAAGGCCGCTATAAGGTCTCCCCAGAGCCTTCTCTTCTCCAGGCTGAGCAACCTCAACTCTCTGAACCTCTTCTCATAAGGGAAGGTGCTCCAGCTCTCTGATTATCTTTGTGGCTCTTCTCTGGACTTGTTCAAGCAGGTCCCTGTCCTTCTGATGCTGGGGGCCCCAGAGCTGGACACAGCACTTCAAGGGGGGGGGGTTCAAAACAGTGGAGTAGTGGGGGTGAATCCCCTCCCTCGACCTGCTGGCCACACTGCTCTGGATGCAGCCCAGGACAGGGTTGGTTTTCTGGGCTGTGGGTGCACATTGCTGGCTCATAATCAGTTTTCCATCCACTAATACCCCCAAGTCCTTCTCCACAGAGCTGCTGTGCTTGGGATTGCCCTGACCCATGTGCAGGACCTTGCACTTGGCCTTGTTGATCTTTGTGAAGTTCGTCAGGCCCACCTCCAGCCAGTCCAGGTCCCTCTGGATGATATCCCTTCCCTCCAGCATGTCAACTGTGACACACAGCTTGGTGTCATCAGCAAAATTGCTGAAGGTGCACTCAGCCCCATGGGTCCATGTCACTGACAAAGATGTTAAACAGTGCTGGTCCCAACATCGACCCCTGGGGAACGCCACTCGTCACCGCTGTCCTCTTGGACGTCGAGCTTTTGACCTCAACTTTTTGACTGTGACCATCCAGCCAATTCCTTATCCACTGAGTGATCCATCCATCAAATTCATGTCTCCAATTCAGGGACAAGGTTGTCATATAGGACAGCATCAAATGCTTTGCACAAGTCCATGTAGGTGATGTCAGTTGCTCTTCCTTTATCCACCAACGCTGTAATGCCATTGTAGAAGGCCACCAAATTTGCCAGGCACAACTAGCCCTAAGTGAAGCCATGCTGGCTGTTACCAATCACCTCCTTATTTTCCATGTGCTTTAGCGTAGTTTCCAGAAGCGTAGTTTCCACTCCCTGATCTTGCCAGGCACGGAGGTGAGACTGACTGGCCTGTAGTTCCCTGGGTCTTCTTTTTTTCCCCTTTTTAAAAATGGGGGTTATGTGTTTCCCCTTTTCCAGTCAGTGGGAACTTCACCAGACTGCCACACCTTCTCAAATGTGATGGACAGTGGCTTAGGCACTTCAACCACCAGTTCCCTCAGGTTCTGTGGATGCATCTCACCAGGTCCCATGGACTTGTGCACCTTCATGTTAGATGGTCTCAAACCTGATCTTCTCCTACAGTGGGTGGTTCTTCATTCTCCCAGTCCCTGCCTTTGTCTTCTGTGTCTTGGGTGGTGTGGCTGGCATACTTGCTGGTGAAGCAAAAAAGTCATGGCGTACACCAGCCTTCTCTACATCCTGGGCATTCAGGTCTCTCGTTTCCTTCTGGAGAGGGCCCACATTTTCCCTAGTCTTCCTTTTATCACTGACGTACTTATAGAAGCATTTCTTGTTGACCTTGTTTGTGATCATCTTAAATGGTTCCTATATACCCCAGCTCTCAGAACAAGGCAATACATGTCTCCTAGTCATCCTCTATATCAGCTCCTAGCTCCAGCTGACTCAAGTGCTTGGGTTAATCTGGAAAAACACACCTGTGACCGGGACATCGGTTGCACGTAATCAAAATACACAAATAGGAAAAGACTGGGTAATAAATCCAAAATAGAATAGAGAACCCAGACTGTTATATAAAAATAATTTTAAGTTATTTTAGTTAGGAAGAGAGGAGTGACGAATACCAAGTAAGCTAAAACACCAAACATCAGGCTGTTTAAATTATGTTCTCTTAACTTGGGAGACAGGGAGGTGAATTCATTAATGAATGGGATATCAGGCTAGGATTTTGTATCATCAGCCTATCTCTAGCTGTGAGAAGTGTGGGTTAGGTGTAATTATATATGATCATTCTTTGTAGCATACTGGTTTAGCAGAGATCATGTGGTCTATGTAGCATGATCTCTCACTACAGCCTGTGGCTATTGCAACTTTGCTGAAAAGTGAAGTGGTTGGGATAATTAATGAGATTTGTGCAGTATATGCAGTATGAGGATACTGGATGTGAGAATTAATGAGAACCTAATGTATACCAAAAATAAGACCAAGCTGGTGTTCCTTCCAGGGGGGTTTAA